GGACAGGATGGAATGGATCGCGCAGCATTCGCCGCCCCCCCCACACACACACACACACACACACACACCCACCCACCCACCCACCCACCCACCCACCCACCCACACCCACACACCCCACCCCGGCGGCCTTTTGACGCGGGGCGCTCGCCCGCGCGCGCGGCCGATGACGCGGGGTGCGATCGGGGAGATCTCGGCGGCGGAGATCGATCGGCGATCGCGGTACTAGCGATGGTCATCGATACGCCACTGCCGCTGCTGCCGCGTCGCTGCTCCTGCCGCTGCAACTGCCGCTGCGAATGCCATTGGTGCCGCGGCCGCTGCCGTTGCTATTGCCAGTGCCCCCCGCGCCCAGATCCCCGCCGGCCGGCCCGCCCCCCCCCCACCCCTCCCCGCGCGCACGCCGCCGCGGGGGCTGGCGCGACCGAGGTGGGCGGCTCGCAGCCGAACCACCGCGCGCGCATGGGCCCGTCGTTCGGTTTCCGCGGCTCGCGCCGCCGCCTGCAGCGACTGAGCGAGCGGGCGGCCACTTCGGCGGGGGGCAGCCAGCGGCCAACGCTGCGCGTCCGCAATGGTTCTCCACTGCCTGCCCCAACAATGCTAGCGACGGGAATCATAGAAACAACCGCAAGCACCGTCTTCCACAAAACGTCGTCGTCGTCATGGCAATATTATTGATGTTCCTGCTCTGTATCTCCCCATCGTCGGCCGGCCAGGTCTGCCGCTCGGCCGACCGAAAGCTTCGCCAAGGGATAGACCAAGCGGGGCGCGGCTCGCCCGCCCCGAACAGTGCGAGGCACTGGCGGGTCCAAGTTGGTCTACGGCCCCCCGAGAGTCTATGGCTGGGCAGCCGCTTAGTCGCGCGCGCTTTCTGACTCTCTCGCAGCCCGTAGCTGTTCGGGTTCAATCGCAACACCAAGCGCGCGCCTTCTGGCAAAATGTCAGCGTCGTTCAAGGCCGCGCCATGTCCGCGCACGAGGACCTCAAGGCGGCGACAGGGGGCTGGTTCCGCCGCCCTCTTCCGGCGCCAATGGCGACGACCGCGCTGCCCCATGGCGAACTGGAGCCATCCCTTGATCTCCCCATCGGCGCCAGCGAATACCCACTCATGCACTTCGTTGACTTCATCACTGGGCACACAGACCAGGCCCCCCCAAAAGCTGGACGAGCAAAACAAGGCGGCGTGGAAGGACGACGACCACCACAAGCTGGCGCCGCCGCTCGGGTTCAAGACGGCGCCGCCGAGCCACGCGACGCTACAGACGCGTATCGTTGACGCCCCCGACGGCACGAAGACCATTATCGAGCATTGCGTCATCCCCAACATGGCAAAGACGGCCGTCTTCGTCAGGATGGCGCTCGGGAGCGCCAGGAAGCTCTGCTTCCAGCACCCCAAGGTACACGGCTCGAAAAAAAGGATGGCGAGGGTGCGTCGGCATGGTTTCTTTTTTGCCATTTTCCAGAATTCCAGAACGCGCACGCACACACACACACGCACGCACGCACGCACACGCACGCACGCACGCAGACACACACACGCACAGACACAGACACAGACACAGACACAGACACAGACACAGACACAGACACAGACACAGACACAGACACAGACACAAACACCCACACACACACAACCACACACACAGAACCACACAACCACGTACACACACAACCAGGCCCAGTCGCCGCCGCGCCCTCTTTCCCTTTCAAAAATCGCGTCGCAAGGTGGGGGTCAAGGCATGGCAGCGCGCACTCGGGCGCTTCGGCGGGAAGCATTTTCGCGCGTTTTTCTCGTCGCCAGACGTCACGACGAGCACGGGGGTAAACGAGCTCTACGAGTTGTCGGGCAAAGACGCCAAAAGGGGCGGCACGCCCCGAAGAACGCGCCCCGCTCCACGGCCGACCTGACGCAGTCGATCTGGCGGACGCCCCCCTCCGCGGCTGGCCCATCGCCCTGGCGGCGAAGGCGCCGAGCGGGCTCGCGGCGGAGGGGGTGATCGCGAAGAAGGAGACCGAGTGGCGCATCTCCCTGACGGAGAAACACTTCAAGCCGTCGGTGCTCAACGTCATGGCAGACATCATGGACCCGCTCGGTTCCATCGTGCTCACGTGAGAGCCGAATTTCGGGAAGACGCTCCTGGGGCGGCCACGCCTCTTCGCGCTCTGCCGCCGCAACGCCCGCATCCACGAGTTGGACCTCGAGTCTGCGCGCGCCCGCGCGACGCCCGAGATCGACTTCCTGCGCGGGGGGGGGGGGGGCGGTTATCTCACCACGGGCGTCTTCTTGGACGACGACGGCTCCCTCAACCAGCCGCCGTCGAAATCTGTCGAGGGCTTGCTGGACGCCGGCCAGCTCGAGCCCACGCGCTAGGCGCGGTGGGAGGCCACCAAGTGGGCGAAGGGCGAGCCGCGCGCCATCGCGGACCAGGTGCGCGACCCCGAGGCAATGAACAATGAATGCCAGCCGCCTGTTATATATATGTGTATATATATATATTAAAAACAAAAAACGGAGTCTTCTTTAACCTCGCCAGGCCAGCCTTCCACGAGAAGGCTACTCGCGCTTGCGCGGTGGCATTCATGAAGCGCGCGGGCTTCTTCGCGAAACCTAAGACCCACGCATACTGGCGCGCTCAAGAGACTAACGAGACCGACGTCCAGCGCAAGTCGATCTGCAGCTCGGACGAGTCCTTGACGACGGAGGGTAAGCGACTCTCCGGCCTGTTCAAGGCGGTGAACCTCACGCCGCCGCAGAACAAGGACGCGCTGCTGCACAAGGAGCGGGCCTTTGTGGAGAACGCCATCAGGGCCAGAGCCGAAGCGACCACCGCCCCCGCGCGCGCGCAGATCTCCGCGGAGCGTGAGCATCAGTCGCCAGAGACAAAGAGGTTCAGGAACTTGGTGGCTCTCGTTGGCACGCTCAACATCGAAAGCTCCCCGTCCCCAGCGAAGCGGCAGGCCACAGCGGCGTCTTCGGGATCTGCAGCTGCTGCCCCTGCCCGCGAGCAGCTGGACATGGAGCTCTCTCCGCTGATGGGCGAGGACGAAACGGCTGTGCCCCCCCGCATGACCTCTCCCGCGGAGGAGGCGGAGGTCGCGGGTTTCCTCGGTGCGGACTGAGCGGGCGGCTGCGCGCGCGCCAGCAAAGCGGGCGCAACGCAGGCAGCGCTGTCGGTTCGGGCTCGGATGAGGGCGAGCGCCGCCGAGGTGGCGCGCGCTCCTGAGCCCCAGATGAGCTGGCAGCGCGCTCAATGATATAATAGCTTCGAATACGCACCCAATGATTGCCCGACTGCGTTAAGAAAGACAGTGGGGGCTCCTGTAGCCCCATTCTGACGTTTCCTGGATCCTCCTGGCACTTCCTGAAGCATCCTGGAGCCTCCTGGGGCATCCTGGGGCCCCGTGGGACTTCCTGAGGCCTCCTGGGGCCTCCTGGGGCATCCTGAAGCCTCCTGGGGTTTCCTGGGCCTTCCTGTGGCCTCCTGAGGCCGCCTGCAATTTCCTGGGGCCTCCTGGGGCTTCCGAAACCTTCCGGGCACTCAAAAACAAAGACATGAAAAACCATCGAACAACTGAAGAAACCAACGACCCAGGGACGAAAACCAAAAATACACAAGGATAAGCCAAACAACTGTTTCTTTGTTTGTGTGTACCACTTTCTATGTGAGGGCGGCGGGGATGAGGTAAGTCTTGAAAGCTTTGCGTTGTTAGTGTTTTTGGTTTGTTTCATTATGTTATTTTGTTTGCTCAGCCCTGGGCCATTGCTTTCTTTAGTTTGTGTTGTTGTACCTTGAGTTGCTTTGTTTTTCAGTGCCCAACCTTATCTTCCTCCAACATTCCTCCTCCTCCTCTTCCTCCTCCTCCTCGTGGAGGGAAGACCTTTTGCGCTGGAGTCGGAAGAGGAGGAGGAGGGGGAGGAGGAGAGGGGAAGAAGGAAGGAGAGAGAGAGAGAGAGAGGCAGACATAACGAAGAGCATAAGAAGAGACAGGTATAATGGCAGGGGGCGACCACATACATATATAGAGAGATGTATATGTGTATACACTAGAACCACGCGCGCTTCGCGCGCTAAGGTTCTCGCGCAGTCCATGTCGCTGTGATGAGACGCAGGTGGAAAGAGTCCTGAGCCGCCTCTTGTCCTCCCCCTCGTCCGGGCCCGAATCGCCCCGAACGACCGCCTGATCGATCCCTGGCCCCGAAAGCCACCCAGAGAGAGGAAGGGACAGGGGACGGATGGGGGAAGAAGGGAGCAAACGGGAGGGGTCGAGGATCGAGGGGGATCGAGATTTAGAACGAGGTCACTTGGGGGCTCTTCTTGAAATCCTTTTCCCCACTTAGTCTTTGCCCTCGGTCCGGCATGTCCTCCTACAGAGACATGTTGGAAGGAGAATGAACATAATCAAAAATACCCAAAAATGGTCAAACCTAATAATCGAAAACTCGTCCCCAGACTATTTTTTAACTATTCTTGAACATTCCTCCTGTAGAAGGACGTGCCCGACCTAGTATTTGCCTTCAGAGGTCTTACTCGTTGATGGAGAAACCAGTGGGTGCCGGCCAGACGCTGTCGCGCCGGGGTTCAGCGAAGTTCCCCAGTCCTGCGACACCAGTGGGTGCCGGACGCGGTCGTGTCAGGGTTCCTTCAGGCTCTCCAGTCTTGCTTTCTTGCAAAAGGATTCTTCGGGGTTCCCCAACCTTGCTTACTTGGAACAGGGTGCCTTGGAGGGCGCCTGGTCTCGTGTCCTGCTGGGGTGACTCGGGGTTCCGTTCCCCTATCCTGTTTTCTCACAGAAAGGGTTCTTCGGGTTCCCTGGTCGAGCTCGATCCTTGGGTTACCAGAGGCCTCCTGGATGGGGTCCGAGTAGATGGGGTCGGAGGATATCGCCGCATCGCCGATACATCGGCGATGCATCGCCGATGCATCGGCGATGCACGGGCGAGGTCGGCGGTGCATCGGCGACGTCGGCGTGGAGAAAATTGGGCTCACAGAGCCGCATCGCCGATGCATCGCCGATGCATCGGAGATGCGGCGCGATCCTCAGACCCCATGTACTCCGACCCGATCTGGGAGGCCTAGAATTACTCGGGTTCCACGGTCTTGTTCTTCGGGCTCTCTGGGATTGTTCCTTGCTTGGGTTCCTCCAGTTCCCTAGTCTTGTTCCCTGCTCGGGTTCCTCGGGTTTCCCAGTCTCGTTTCCTGCTCGGGTTCCTCGGGCTCCGCGGTCTTCTTCATCGGGCTTCACGCAACTGCGCAGAAATCCCAAGCAAGGCCAAACACGGCGCCCATGCAATATAAAACGTTGCCTCAATTTTGGTCGCGCCAGGTCAATTTCCTTACAAGGGCCTTGGGTTCCCTGGTCTTGTTTCCTTGCAAGAGGGCTCCTCGGGTTCCAGTCTGTTCCCTGATTGGGTTCCTCGGGTTCATCGGTCTTGATCCTTGGGTTCCTCGGTCTTGTTCCCTGCTTGCGTTTCTCGGGTTCCCTGGCCGTGTTCCCTGCTTAGGTTCCTCGGGTTCCCTGGTCTTGATCCTCGGGTTCCCTGGTAGTGTGAAGCCATTCAAATCAAAGCCAAGCACTGTGCCCATGCAGTAGGAAGCTTTCCCCGAAGCGGGTTCGTGCCAGGTTCATAAATGTCTCTGGGGGTCTCTGGGGGGTTCGGGCGTATGGGGGGCGTCGTGGGGGCCCACTCGAGGCCGGTCGGTGGTCCGAGCCTCGGGGGGGCCTCTCTTGGGACCCTCTTGGTGCGTCTTGGGCTCTCTTGGGGGGCCTTCTGGGCCGTTTGCAATGTGATTTGGCCGTCTTGGGGCCGTCTTGAACTGGTCTTCGAAGTCAGCGCCTAAGTAGCCGCGGCCCCCCAGATTAGCTCAAGCGTGAAACTTGCGCACTGGGATCGAACTCCAACACGACTCTCGGAAGTCTTCGAGGCAGTTTTGAAGCCTCTTAGGGTGGGCCTCTTGGGGCCCCATCGTGGGGCTCCTGCGGGCCTCTTGCGCACCCTCTTGGAGCTTCTTGGGGGCCTCCTGGGGCCATGTTGGCGTCCTCGGGGAATCATCTTGGGGCGGATGGCTTGCGAAGCGAGGTCAGTTCCGTGTTCCCCTCTCGGGGCCTTGCTCGGCCATCTTGGTGCCTTCTTGGGTCAGCCTGGGGCCCTTTCGCGGGGCCCCTTGGCCGACTTGGGGGCCGGTGGGGTGGCCTTGGACGGAGCGACGAACAACGACGACGGATCAAATAGAATGCAACGTTCCCTGAGGGAGGGGGGAAATGTCTTGCATATCGGGGCCCTGTCGGGGCCATCTTAGGGCCCTCTCGAGAGATCTCTTTTTGACCAGCACCACGCTCAGCGGCGGCGCCACAGCACCACGCGCAGCGGCGGGGCGCAACTTCGAGCGCGGCGGGAGGCCACGAGATAAGACGTCGCGCGCGGAGGCCCCGAACAGTTCTTGTGTATGTTGGGTGCAGGCTGCACGCACGCGTCGACGGGCGACGTCTCAGTACGGTCGCGGGAAAAAAAGGCCGTCGGGCGAAGCACGCCGGAGGGAGAGTCAAAAAAAACAGAAGAGGGCGAGGACGAGGACAGAAGAATGTGGCAACAGAGCATCATCCCGTCGGCACTCCGCTGCCAAGCATGGGGGGGGGGTCAGGGGGACGGAAGCCCGCCATCCGGCCATCGGCTCTCTGCCTCGGCTGGGCTCTGCCAGTCCGAAGCATACGGCCGTCCCGAACCCCGCAATCGGCCGAACGGACGCGGCAACGCCCCTTGAATGCTCCACGTCCGTGAGGACTTGCGCGCGGGCCCACGGCGGCGCGCCGATTGTTGCCTCGCGCCACGGAAGCCAGACGGCCTCAAGTGTTTGCCCCGAGCTTCTTCTCGAAGATGGCCTCCGCTTAGCGGAGGCTCGTCGAAAGTCTGGCTGGGGGCTGTGGCGGAGGACGCTTGTGCAGACACTGGCTGATCAATGCTGCGTTGCACTCCTCCGCAAACGTATATAGATTTGGGGGCAGCCAGCGCCTATGTAAAGACAGCGGCAGCAGCAATGAGATGCAGGCACCTTCGCTGAAGGACGCAGGCAGGGCCCAACAATGCCAAAAAGAGGAGGAGCAGAGGGAGACCACGGTCACCTCGTGCTCGGACGCGCGCGCGGACTGTGATCATCTGGCCTCGTGGGCACCGACTGAGCCTTAAAACGCTGAAAAAAACTTGCCTGCCAGCTCGGGCAGTACTCTCCCCGCGGGTGTTTTGTTGCGCACAGCGCCATGGACAATTCCACCGCCTCGCATACCCGGCGGGTGTGAAGATGGTGTGAAACTGTGGAGTGCATGCGCTCCTGCACACGATTGGCATCATGATGGGGCGATGCCCAGCACAAGGATAGGGATAGATAGATTCCAGGCTGGTAACACGCGCCCGCCATGCAAAAGCAGCTACCAACGCATCAATCAGAGCCGGTCTCCTCGGTGTGCGCAGCAGAAAACATCTCCACCACGTCGGACGCAGTCGCTCTGCGAGCTGGCTCGGGCTTCAGCACCACCCCCAGGCACGCCAATGTTGTGCCGTCAAGTGCGTTGCCCATCTTCGTCATCGCCTCGGTGTGGCAGCCAGCCTTGGAGAAGAACTCCAGAATTTTCCACGCAGCGTGTGCGAGGGACTCGCCACGGCGCCACTGGACGGACTTCTCGAGTGAACCCTGCCCGCAAGCGGTCTCCAGGAACAGCACCCCAACACTCCAGCAGTCTGCGGGCTTAGGCAAATACGGCTCGTCCAACACCGTCTCTGGAGCGACGCATGGCAGAGATCCGCACAAGGTCTTCCTTGTGCTTGAATTTGGAACGTGGGCTGCCATGCTGAAGTCCACAAGGCGGCAGATGTGCCGATTGCATGCCATCTCTACCGCCACGTGCCTCAGAGACACTTGCCCATGCACGACGTCCTTGGCGTGGCAGTAGGACAGAGCACTCGCGACCTGGGCACTGCAGATCAAGGCGTCATCCCTGGACAAGCGGTGTTCTCCTTGAGTCGACAACACCTGCTCCATGCTCACGTCTCCACCGTACTGGAGAGCCACATACACATTACACTGGCTCTGCAACATACCTACGCATCGGATGATGTGTGGGTGGTCAAGGATGTGCGTCAAGAGACAGAATTCTTGGTGTATGCTCTCCACCTTCTTGGCATCGGTGACGCTGCTCTTGTCGTGCACCTTGATCACTACCTTTTCATGCTGTCCTTTCACGGCCAACAACACGTGGTGGTGATCCGAATACGAGCGCACAAACCGAAAATCCCCGACCCCATTCCCATCTTCCAGGAGAAGCTTGTCCAGTGGCGCGAAGCCGGGCATCAACATATTCGGGATGGCATTCCAGAGTAGACCACGGAACTCATCCTCGATGATTTTGACATCCCTGGCAGAGGGTACCCCCTGGTTCGCATTGTCAGCAAATGCCTGCACGCGCAGCTGGATGGCGGCGTTTTCTTGGAGCTCCAAACTTAACCTATGTTGCAGCCCCTCTGGGTCACCTGCCAGCTCCATCAACACGCCGTCCGCCCCAAAGCTGTAGAGCTCGTCCTGCCGCGCCATCAATTCACTGATGTAGGCCTTGGTCAGCTCGGTATCAAGCCGATCTGGAAGCTGCACCAAGAAGACGATCGCGTCGGGATGCGCCGTCCTCAGATAGTTCAGAAGGCCTGACACGCCTCTCTTTTCCCTCTCCGTCCTGTATACGGATACGATCAACACGACTTCATGCTGCTCCACTATATGGGCGATGCTTGCCAAATTCACCTCTCCGCCTGCTCCTGATGCCAGCACGTTGGCCGGCTTTTCCTGCGAGCTCCACGGCACCAGGGTCAAGAAGCCAAAGGCCAACGTGGTTGGTGCGACGCTGGAGACATATGCCTCCACGACGCTCTGGATGGCACTGAGTGTTGCCATCATGTGCGAGAAATGGGACTGGCAATTGGGACGCTTGATGAATCTGCGCCTCCAGCGAAAGTGCCCCTTGAGCCAAAACGGACGGCTACGGAAGGCCCTCTCGAGAGATCTTGGGGGCCCCTTCGGCCGTTTGAGACGCTTCGTTGGCTGTCTGCGACCTCTCTGGGCCGTCTTGGACCGCCTGGGCGGCTGTCTGGTCGCCCTCGGGGAAGATCGTGGCCTCCCCGAAGCGCGGGGCCTGGCCCGGGGACCCCTGCGGGGATGAATTCGGCACCCCGGGGGCAGAGAACTTCGGAAAAATGTGCTGCCCTCGGGCCCAGGGGCCCGGACGACACGGTCCATCAACCCATCATTTTCTGACTACCTACCAGACCACCCCAACCCAACCCGAAGGCCCGAATTTCGGGTTGGGGGGTAAGGGTTCCGTACGTGTTTTTTCGATGTTCCGCCACCCCCCCCCCACTGGAAATGGAGGGCAAATCTGAGCCTTCGGGTTGGGTTGGGGTGGTTTCGTGGGTGGTGATTTTCACGGAGGCCCCCGAGCCCTGAGGCCACCGTGAAAAAGGCCCTGGGAGTTTCGATGAAGCGCGATTCGTGTCCGGCGTCCGTGGAATGGTTCTGGTGGGTGCAATACGAATCGACGGTGCAATAGTCCCGGTTTCGAAGTCTGGGGAGCAAGCTTGAGGCGTTTCCCCTCCGCCTTCACCGATGTTCGAAGCCGCTTGGACGCATGCAGGGAAAACCGTCAGGGAGGTATTTCGGAACCCTTCCGTGGCCGTCTTCGGTCTCTTGGGGTCATGCTGGGGCCGTCTTTGGGCACACTGGGCCCCTCTGGGCCGTCTTGGCTGGGGCCATCTCTTGAGGTCTGATGCGGGCTTTCTTTGCAAGCGTCCTGGACGCGCAAAGGTTGAACATGCGGATGTGCCAACATCACTCAAAACAGAACAATCCAGCATTCATTCATGTTACCGGGTGAAGCCACTCCGGGTGCGTTTTCGGAGGCCTCTGGTGGAGGCCCCCTGGATGGGGTCCAGGTAGATGGGGTCGAAGCATCGCGCCGCATCGCCAATGCATCGCCGATGTGATCGGCGATGCATCGGCGACGTCGGCGATGCATCGGCGACGTGGGCGTGGAGAACATTTTACTCCGCATCGAGCCGCATCGCCGATGCATCGACGATGCGGCACGATCCTCTGGCCCATCTACTCCGACCCCATCTGGAATACGAAACCTATGTTGCATCACAGCAACAATTCGGCCCCTGACTTTCCTCGTGGGTTCGGTTTAGTGAAGTGATGAATTTCGGGGTCCTTACGTGGGAAAAAACCATCACTTCACTAATCTGGGGCCCCTGGGGCCTCAGTGGGCCCTGGGGCCCAAAATTAGTGACGTGATGGTTTTCGGGCCTCGGACAGGAGGCCTAGAGCTGGGAAGCTGTCCTGGGGCCTCTCCGGGACGCTTCTCTGCCCGGGGGGGACGTCCGGGGGCTTCGGGATGAGGGGGGGCTCGCGTACGGCCTCCGGGGGGGGGGGCCTCGGGCGGGGGGCTCGAGACAAGTCGGCTCGAGCTCCCGCTCCTGGGTCTCTCTCTCTCTCTCTCTTTCTCTTGTCAGGAGGGAAAGAAACACACAGACACAATTAATCGTCGATTTCCCGGAAAAGATGGGAGAATATTGGAAGTGGGGGGGAGACAAAACCCGGAAATACGGGAAAATATGGGGAATCTGCTCATTCGTGTGTAGTTATTTGTGTGTCCCAGCTCCCCTTCATCTTGGTGCCCTCTCGCTGCAAAATTTTCTCGGAGCCTCGGAGCTCCGGGCCTACGGGGCCGTCCCGGCCAGGAGCGGTTGTCTGGGTGTGCAGCTCGGCGCCCTCCGAGAGGTGGCCATCGGCCACGTGGCCCTGCCGCGGCGTCCCCCGGAGGACGCCGCCGCGCCGGCGCCGGGGGCCCCGTTCGCGTGCACCTCGGTGCCCAGGGGCTAAGATAGGGGGGGCTAGGCGCAGCAGTCCTCCGCGGAGATGCGACGTCGTGACTCTTTCAATGCGCGGTCCCTGGAAGTCTCGACCCGTTCCCCAGGACCCGTTTTTCCTCCCGGGTCGTTCTCTGGCGGCCCCTGGGCCCAGCGAGGGCCCCTGTAGAGGCGGAACACTGCGAAGAACCTCCGCCTTGATGTCTTCCGCACGTTGACTCTCGGGGTCTCGGAGCCTCGCATATCTCTGGGCCCCCGAGCTCCGGGTAGAGGCCCGCGAGGATCGCGTCCAGGTGGGCCGCGCCCAGCCGGTGGAAGCGCACGCGCGTGAAGGCCGCCACGAGGGCGGGAGCCCGGCGCCTCGGGCCCGCGGCGCGGCCCGCGCCCTCCTCCTGCGGGCGGGGGCGGCAAGAGGCGCACCACCGCCGGGCCAGCTCGGGCACGGCCCTCCTGCTCCTCCTCCTCCTCCTCCGCCTCCGCCTCCGCCTCCTCCTCCTCCTCCTCCTCCTCCTCCTCCTCCTCCTCCTCCTCCTCCTCCGCCTCCGCCTCCGCCTCCTCCTCCTCCTCCTCCTCCTCCTCCTCCTCCGCCTCCGCCTCCGCCTCGCCTCCCTCCTCCTCCTCCTCCTCCTCCTCCTCCTCCTCCTCCTCCTCCTCCTCCTAGCTCCTCCTCCTCTTCCTCCTCCTCTTCCTCCTCCTCCTCCTCCTCGCGCCCTTGAATCTGAGATCCGAGTCTCCGAAAACATTGTGCAGCGGCTGGGTTGAGGCTGTCGTCGGCCTCCCAGAGGCCCTCGACGGGCCTCGGGCCGAACGGTCATTCATTGTCCCTGGGTGCGTGGCTTAAGTGCGGATCCGTGGTGAAGACTCTGCTTGTTGCGTTGTTGCTGTTGCTGTTGTTGTTTGTTGTCGTCGTCCCCCCCGCGACCCGGCCCGCGATCCACCCGCGACCCACCCCGCGACCCACCCGCGACCCACACCGCGACCCGCTCGCGACCCACCCACAACCCACCCGCGACCCACCCGCGTTCCACCCGCGACCTGGCCCGCGACCTGGCCCGCGACCCACCGTCGACCCACCCGCGACCCACCTGCGACCCAACCCGCGACACACCCACATTGTTTTAACAAAAAATCGGCGCCTGCGGCAGGCTCGTTGTATAGCTTGAAAACTGCAAACGTCCCCGCCGCCCCCTCACTCTTATCCGCAACTGCGGGGTGCTACGGAAATCAGAGTGAGAAGGTCGAACGGTCATTCATTGTCCCTGGGTGCGTGGCTTAACGGCGGATCCGTGGTGAGGATTCTGCTTGTTGCGTTGCTGTTGTTGCTGATGATGCTGCTGCTGCTGTTGTTGTTGCTGCTGTTGTTGAATGTTTACCACTAAACAATTATTATTGTTGGACCCCTGGCGCTCTCGCCGAGGCGCCGGCGACATACTCATTGAAAATGAGGCTCACGCTCGAGCGGTTTGGGGGACCGCCAAAACCGTCCCCCAAACAACAACAACAACAACAACAACAACAACAATCACTTTACCCGAACGCTCAGTGTTCTCACCAGTGCCAGGGTTTTCATGCGACGCCAGCCAATACCCCCACTTTGTGGGGGGGCAGTGCAAGCTCTACCAAATATCCACACGACTCTTCGCCACCACCCACACCCAGCTTCCCGCCCTATGACGTTCGGACACTTCACTTCGTGGCCTGCGGACGACCGTGGCTACTACACTGGCGTGGAGTACACACCCACAGAAGTTGTTAAGCCTACGTTCGTACACCCACAGAAGTTGTTAAGCCTTGTTAACCCACAGAAGTTGTTAAGCCTTCCACAGAACATCTGTTGCATATGATGCATATGGTACATGATACACATGATACACATGATACGTACTCACAAGATAGTTGCGGTGCTAAAATTCTTAAGAAGCCCAATGGTTTTTGGAGATTTCGGCGTGCGCGCGCGAAGAAAAAACGAATGTGTCCCGCATGGTATTATTTGACAGGGATGATGGCCCTGGCAGGTGCGCAACCGTTGTCGCAGAAGTTCGAAAAAGTTGCTCGCAAAAGCCCGTTTGACAGAAATGTTTAAAAAGTGTTGGGTTTCCTACGAATCCGCAAGAGCGCGCGGGATGAGATTTTGACATTTTTTTGTTGAAAAACCATTGGTTTTTTGATGTTTTTATGTTAAAATCGCTCCGAACACTAAGCTTTTGGAAGGATTTCGTCTTGCGCGCGCGAATGTCCACTTTACCTTATTTTTTGCAAGGGATTCTTGAAATTTGATTATATTAGAACAAGAAATGTCATTTTATAGTGTTTTTTGCAAGGGAAAGCGGGGGGGAACAAAACAACCGGATCCGGTACTAATCCACTTTTCTGAAGCTTTCGCGAAAAAATGATGAAAATGTAGCTGCGGCCTAGGTTTTGGAGGGGGGTCGTGCACCAGGGGTCCCAACAATAATTATTCTTTAGAAGTAATAATGTTCAACAACAACAACAACAACAACAACAACAACAACAACAACAACAACAACAACAACAACAACAACAACAACAACAACAACAACAACAACAACAACAACAACAACAACAACAACAACAACAACAACAACAACAACAACAACAACAACAACAACAACAACAACGCTCCCGCTGGAGACTTCCTCCTTTTTTACTCAGGGCTGGTGTTAGTGCTCGCCGCCCAGCGCTCCCGCTCGAGACTTCCTCTCGTTTTACGCTGGACTGACGCGCTAGTCTTTCTCTCAACGGCGCCGCCCCCAGCAAAAAACACGCTCCCGCTCAAGGCTTCCTCCCTTTTTACTCAAGGCGGTGCTCCTCCTCGCCGCCGAAAACCGCCGCCCCGACAAAACCAGCGCTCCCGCCCGAGACTTCCTTCCGTTTTACGCAGGACTGGCGCCCAGCTCTCGTTTGAACTGGCGCCGCTCCTAACAAGAACAACGCTCCTGCTCGAGGTTTCCCCCCTTGTTCCTGAAGACGGTGCTCTTCCTCGCCGCCGACATACCCCCCTTCTCGACAAAACCGCGGCTCCCGCTCGATGCTTCCTCCCTTCTTACTCAAGGCGGCGTTCCTCCTCGCCGCCGAAAACCGCCGCCCCGACAAGCTCCCGCCCGAGACGTCCTTCCATGCTACGCTGGACTGGCGCCCTACTCTCTTTTGAATTGGCGCTGCTCCCAGCAAGAACAACGCTCCCACTCGAGATTTCCTTTTTTCCTCGGGACGATGCTGTTCCTCGCCGCCGATAGCCCCCGTCCCAACAAATCCACGGTTCCCGCTCGATGCTTCCCCCCTTTCACTCAAGGCGGTGTTCCTCCTCGCCGCCGAAAGCTGCCGTCCCAACAAAACCAGCGCTCCCGCTCGAGACTTCGTTTTGTTGTACGCTGGACTAGCGCCCTACTCTCTTCAGCATTAGCGCCGCTCCCAGCAACAACAGCAGCCCTGCTCGAGACGTCCTCCCTTCTATTCAGGGCCAGGTCCTTGCCTCACCGCCGACAGCCCCCATCCCAACCAAGGCAATCCTGTCGTTCGATACTTCCTTGTGCTTTACCCTTCGCTGGGGTTTCACTGCCGGTCTTGCATCGACGCAGCAAGGTGCGGGCATGTGTTTTCCAGGCGGGATGTGTTGAAATTCCTCGGAGGAGGTGTTTGCAAGACCTCACTGGGCGGGAGATCTGGGAATGGGAATAACGGACCCCGCTATAGAACAAGAGTCCCCCATGATGTGGATGGTTATCATGATGGTCGCATGCTTCGTGTGGAAACGTGGCGCATGAGGGTTAAATGATAGTTGTTGATGTTGTTGCTGCTGTTGTTGGTGTTGGTGTTGTGGTTTGGTTGTGGTTGTTGTTGTTGGTGGTGTTGTTGGTGTTGTCGTTGTTGTTGTTGTTAGTGGTGTTGTTGATGTTGCTGGTGGTGTTGCTGTTGTTGCTGGTGTTGTTCTTGGTGCTGTTGTTGGCGTTGTTGATGGTGGTGGTGTTATTGTTGTTGGTGGTGTTGTTGGTGTTGTGGTTGTTGTTGTTGGTGGTGGTGTTGTTGGTGTTGTTGTTTGTTGTCGTTGTCCCCCCCGCGACCCGGCCCGCGACCGACCCGCGACCCACCCCGCGACCCACCCCGCGACCCACCCCACGACCCACACCGCGACCCGCATGCGACCCCCCCGCAACCCACCCGCGACCCACCCGCGACCCACCCGCGACCCAACCGCGACCCACCCGCGACCCATTGTTTTAACAAAAATCGGCGCTGCGGCGGGCTCGTTGTATAGTTTGAATATGTTGCACCTGCGGCGGGCTTCTTCAGAGCCTCGCAGACTGCAGACGTCCAAGCCACCCCCTCACTCATATCCACAACCGCGGGGTGCTACGTATTATTACTCTTATCATTCCTCCACCTTCCTCCTCATCATCCACCTCCTCCTCCTCCGCTCCTCCTCCTCCTCCTCATCCCCCCTCCTCCTCCGCCTACTCCTCCTCCTCATCCCTCCTCCTCCTCCTCCTCCTCCTCCTCCTCCTCCTCCTCCTTCTCCTTCTCTTCCTCCTCCTTTGAAAGGGGCCGCCCTGCATCCAAGTTACCGGCGCACAGTCTTTCACATCGGGCAGTAACATTTGAGACAGTCTCAAGCGAGAGCCCCGTGTTGAAAAGGAACCGCCCTCCAACCTAGCATGGACACAGCCGAGACAGGGCCACAAGAACGCAGATCGAGAACACGAGCCCCCGCCACCGAAGGCAAGAGCCTCGTGGAGGCACCGAGAACGAAGCACATCGTCAGTCTGGGGGGGGCAGATTGCCCTTGGCCCTCGGGCAGGCTGCACGGACGTGGCGCCGAGAGCAGGCGAGACCGGCATCGAAACGATACGACAAGCCGGATCGGCAATCGAACTCGAATCGGATCGGCAGAACTTGGCAGCCGGGTCGGGAGAAGCCGAATCTGCGGCACTCGGCGGGCCAGCAGGCCCTCCACGGAGAAATCGGAGGCCGCGTCGGGATCCCGAACAGAATCGAATCGGACTCTGAGGAAGCCGAAAGGTACCCACACCGCTGCTTTACCCGGACCTCTCCCATGGGTGCGGCCCGACCAGCATCTCAGGGTGAATACAGCGGCGGCGACGAGGGCCTCCCAGGAGGCCCAAAAAGGGGAAAGCGAGCGAAGGGCAGCGGCATGGGTACCTTCTCCTCCTCTGAGAATCGGAGGCCATCGAGACCGAAGCGCCTCGGGTGCGGAGGCAGCGAGGCGAGGCCCCCCTGCCAGTGGCGACGAGGGGGCCGAGAGAGAGCGCCCGCGGGCCGGAGAGGCCCTCGAGGAGGGCAGGCCTCCTGGCAGCACGCCAGAAAAAGGGGACGCACGGAGACATACCAGTCCCGAAGGATTGCAAAAAAAAACCGAAGGATTGCAAAAAACAGGGTTTTTGTTGGTTTGTTTTGCAATCCAGAGTGTTTTTGTTTGCAATCCTTCGGTTTGTTTTGCAATCCTTATGTCCGCCTTGTAGGCGCGCGTCCGACCCGAGCGTATGGTAGACCCATCCTGTAATCTATCGTTTCCCGAGCGGTGTGGCCAGGAAGCGCCCACCGCGACGCATATACCAGAAGATTTCTCGGTGCGCTTTTTTTTTTGATTCGCGGGTCAAGAGCGCACGTGGGCGACGCACACACAGTATAAAGATGTTGGGGCGACGCCGAACAGAGGGCCCCCTCTGCGGCAGGGTCCTCGGCCTCGAGCGGGGGGCCGTCGTCGACCTGCATGGGGGCATCCGCCTCGTCCTCGCCCGCGGGCGCCTGCCGCGGGACACCCAGGCAGCCCGCCGCTCCACTCTTCTCGCTGCCTGGGCCCTGGAGGTCTGGACTTCGGTCGGGCCCGTCCCCCTACAGGCGGATCTGGGACGAGCAATTCGGAAATTCGCCGGCCCAACGGGCCAGGGCGTGCTAAGATCCCCGGTACCTGGTTAACAGTATTTCTAGTTCGCGCGCGCGGGGGGCGGCCCCTGGGGGTCCCCGGACGAAAAGTACCCCGGCAAGGTCCCGGCAAGTCCCCGGCAAGTCCCCGGCAAGGTCCCGGCAAGGTCGGGCCAGAGATGCCGGAGTTCTGTTTCGGAGTCCAAGAGGGCTCCAGATCGGTCCAAGAGGGCCCCGAGAAGCTTTCTAGACGGTCCAAGAGAGGCCCGAGACGGCCAAAGATCGCCCGAAGACGCCCCAGATGGCCCCAAGACAGCCCAAGAGGCCTCCAAGACGCTCCAAGGGCCTTCCAAGAGGCCTCCGAAGAGGGCCCCAAGTTGCCAAAATCGTTGATTTTCATGTGTTTTTCTATGTTTTTTTGCGTTCTGGCCTTTTCGCTTCCGGACGCTCCAAGAGGGCCCAAGAGGCCTTCAAGACTGCTCCAAGACGGCCCACGAGGCTCCCAAGACGGCCCCGGAGCGGCCCAAGAGCGCCCCCCAGACGGCCCAAGTGCCGCCCAAGGCGGACCAAGAGGCCCCAAGACGGGCCCAAGAGGGGCTCAAGAAGGGAACCGAGAACTGAAAAATCGAGCCCTCCGCCCCAGAAGGCGCCCAGGACCCCGAAAGAGGCCCCAAGAGACTCTCCAAGACACCCCCAAGACGCCCCAATAAGCTCCCGTGAGGCCCCAAGAGGACCAACAACGTCAGGCCCCAGGCCCCAAGAGGACCAACAAATACCGCCAAGAGCCCGCCGAAAGCCCCCCAAGAGACCGTCACGAGAGCTCAGGAGGCCCCCTGGAGGCCTCCCGAGTTCTCCAAGAGGCCTAAAAAGAGGCGCCAAGAGGCCCCAAACGGCCCCAACGAGGCTCCAAGAGGCCACGAACGCGCAAGCAAACGCCTGCGATGGCACAATACGGGCCGGCGGAATGAGCGAAGCGATTCAATATTAAGAGAAAAGTACTCCCAAGCACACATGCAAAGATACCAAAAGCTCGTCCCCAGACTATTGCTTGACTATTTGGGCACCTTTCTCCTGTGGAGGGACAGGCCCGACGTAAGTCTGGACCACTTCCCCAGGGCCGGTGTGTCGTCCTGATTCATTTGTGTTTGACGGTTCCGAGGCCAGGCGAGGGCCCCGACGGCCCGAAAACGGTCAAAAACTGGCCGCTCCGAGTTTTGCTGGAGCGTCGGATCCCTGGGCATGCAAGGGCGCACGAGGATGCCAGGGTCCTGGAAGGCCATGCCGGGACTCTGCGGGCGGAGCGCGGCCAGCAAAAGCGGCCAAGGATGGGCCTAAGGGGAAGGATGCAAGGGCAGCCTTGAAAAATCGCTCATCCGCAATGTGCGGGTTGACTGTCTTTGAATGGAAAATAATCAGATCACAGCAAATCCCCAGGCAACCCCCTGGACAACACGGACAACCCATGCTGATTGTTTGACGGCAAGACGACCTACCCTGGACAACCCCTTTGACAACCTCGGCGGGGATCTAGACAACACCACCGGACAACTCCCCTTGGACAAGCCTCCCCAGGATTTTCCTGAGACAAAATAACTGGCAGACGGGGGCACGGATCGATCAATCAATCGATCAGCGCATGACTGACGACGAGGTTTTTGTCCGCATGGCTCGGTGGGATCGCATGAGTCATTTGGGCCTTGCCGCAGCCAGCGCTGGCTGGGCTGGCTTGCGACGGGTCTCGAGCGAATCAAACTCCACCCTCCCTGCTCGGGGGCGAGGGCAAAGAGAGGGAGGGCGGAAGAAGTGCGGCGGCCTCTCTCGCCCCACCTCCCCTCAGCAGGGCGGGGGGGGAAGCGGGAGGAGGTGCTGGTGGTGTATGCACTCGGGGTTGCGCAAAGAAGAAGTACCCCCCGTACCACCCCTGCCGGACAGGCCGCCCAGCCACTTCTCCGAACCACTCAGACGGAGACCACCGCCACGCGCGATCCGCCCCAACCACGCTGCGGTCAGGCCCATCACTGGGCTGATGACCTTGAGACCCTGGCTGAAAGCCGTGGGGAGGGGTGGAAAAATGCCCCTGGCCACTCGGAGAAGCAGGAAAGCGAAGAGCCTCCTCCTCCTCCTCCTCCTCCTCCTCCTCCTCCTCCTCCTCCTCCTCCTCGACCACGGCCAGCCACAGGAGCGACAGCGAGGACGCCAGGGCAGGAGCGCGAGACCCTTGGCCGCCCGCGCCGAAGCCACCCCGCGAGCGGCGCGGCGGCGGCGGCGCCGCGCGGCGGCGGCGGCGGCGGCTGCGAGCTGCGGCGACGAGCGCAGTGGGCCTCTGCGCCGTCGGCCGCGCGCTGGCCCCCGCAGCTCGCCGGGGGCTCCTCGGCGAAGGAGCGGCTGGTGAATTCAAGGCTTGTGAGCTCCACAACGAGGACTGGTTTTCGGAATTCAGCAATGGTGACTGGTTTGTTGTGTTCCAAAACCGATTCAACATGCAAGTGTCTGGAATTCAGCAACGAGGACCTCGACGACGACGAGGTCGTCGAGGTACGAAAAGGCTCTGCGCCACTCTCGCCCCCTGGAGGCCCGGTTCGAGCCCAGGGCCCGCCAAAGATCAATCCAGGACTAGACGAGCGCGTTTCACTACTCGCGAAGTAACTACTCGCAAATCGCCTGGATCCGCCGCGGGTGATCTAATTACATCGAAGTAGGCGTGTGTGTGTTTCGGACGTTTGCGAGTAGGCACTTTACGAGTAGTGGAACGCGCTCGGTGAAGGACAGCGTCGTCGTCGACGTCGTTCGTCGTCGACGACGCCGTTTGAGGATCGAGGTCGTCGTCGTCGTCGACGTCGTGCAAGGATCGAGGCTTTGAGGTTCGAGGGTGCTTCTCTGCCAGGTTCGGCCCCTGGGCACCTTCTCGGCTGCCTGGAACGTCAGAGTTGCATGCAGGATGAGCAAGCACCCAGGACAGGAGAGCCCAGAATCGAATCGAGAAGTCGGATCGGCGATCGACAGGAATCGGATCGGCGGAAATCGCCCGCCGAGTCGGGAGAAGTCGAATCGGCGGAAATCGACAGGCTAGTAGGCCTCCAATGAGAAATCGGAATCCGCATCGGAATCCGAAGTCGAATCGAATCGGAATCGGCAGCCATCGGAATCGGATCGAACCGAATCCGACGAATCGAAACGTATGCAGGATGGTTCCCGTGAGATATCTGGGGACCGACAACGACCTCGACGACGACCCTGAAGTGCGGGCGTCGCAATCATATCACTCTGGGCGGTTTCGCCCAGTTTCGGTGGCCTGGCTCGTGAAATGCCGCGGGAAGCTGGGCGCGAGGGCTCTGGTCCTGATGTACCACGAGGCGCGATGCTGCAATTTGCCCACGACGTCGGATCTCTGGGGACCTCGACGACAAGGGAGCGACGAACAGAAACGGGCTTCACGCAAGATGGTATAGCGGCGTTACCCCCGCGTTACGCGATGGCTTACGCGCGCCGCCAGCGCGGCATGCTACAGTGGTAACGAGAGGGCTTACGCGCGACCTTACGCAGGCAGCTTACGCGAGAATGTCGGCGCAGTCGACCCCGTACTCTTCCGTCGTTCAAGTGGCATGAAGAGCACGGGTCGTGGCAGAAACGGATCATGGACCCAGGGGCGTTGTTACGTGTTTTTTCCTCCCGAGGTTTTTCTTACAATTTCGGAGCTAAGGGAGATCCCCCACAGCCTGGAGACGAAAGAAAAACTCCAGGACCAATTTCCCTCAAGACCTCTTTCCTTCATGGCGAGACAACCGGGGAGACGTAAGAGTCGAGTGCCGGGAGTTAGAATGTGCCTCAACTGGGCCGTCAGAACAATCATGGGACCTACGTTATGAAGTTCGGCGAGAGGTCCCGCTGCACACGTATCACGAAAACTGGACCGCCAGAAAGCATGTCAGAACCGAACGGAAGCGGCGGCAACCCGGAGTTCTTGCAAGTGTGAGTCGTTGGTGGCCTCCCGAATGGGGTCCGAGTAGATTGGGTCGGAGGATGGCGCCGCATCGCCGATGCATAACGGATGCATCGGCGATGCATCGGCGATGCGTCGGCGACGTCGGCGATGCATCGGCGCCGTGGGTGTGGAGGAAGTCGGCCTCCACATCGAGCCTATCGCCGATCCATCGGCGGTGCAGCGCGATCGTCCGACCCCGTCTACCCGAACCCCGTTTGGGAGGCTAGAGCGCGGTGAGGTCGTTGGGGATTTCGAGGTCACCGCGCGGCCCGTCACCACACGGTCTTGGGACCCTGCAGTCAGGCGGACGGTGCAGACCAGGTCGTGGGGAGGCAGAGTCCCAGCGCATGGTCTTTGGGGCTGCGCGAAGGGCTGGAAATCGCTGGCGTCGCGTGGTACCCTGGGTGACATGTCGCGACAGCGGCTGATGTGGATAGGCGCAGGTCGGGCATGCCCCCCTACAGGCGGATTTTGGGCGAGAAAGAAACATCAGTCCAAAAATGCCTTAAAATCAGATCATGTTCTAGAAAGAAGGCGCTCCCATATGATATGTCACTGTGTTCGGATTTTCCTCCCTGTAGGGGGGCACGCCCGACTGAAGGATAGGCTTGCGCTCCCCCGAGGCAGCCTCGACGACGACCTCGACGTCTCCGCTGGGGAGGCCTGCAGCGGGCCCCTCCCGCGGGGAGGCCCTCCCCTCGCCACCGGCGGAGGCCGCTCCTGGGCTCGCAGGCTCGACGCCGCCCGCTCCACGGGCCCCGGGGAGTGGTCGCCTGGGGCTCGACTCTGAGCGCACTCTGCCTGGAGGAGGAGGAGGAGGAGGAGGAGGAGGAGGAGGAGGAGGAGGAGGAGGAGGAGGAGGAGGAGGAGGGGGAGGAGGAGGAGGAGGAGGGGGAGGAGGAGGGGGAGGAGGAGAAGGGGGAGGAGGAGCGGAGGGGGAGGAGGAGCGGAGGGGGAGGAGGAGGGGGAGGGGGAGGAGGAGGAGGAGGAGGAGGAGGAGGAGGAGGAGGAGGACGGCGACGACGACGGCAACGACGGCGCCGACGACGACGACGGCGACGACGACGACGACGGCGACGACGACGACGACGACGACGACAGCGACGACGACGGCGACGACGACGGCGACGACGACGACGACGACGACGACGACGGCGACCGTGACGGCGACCGTGACGGCGACGACGGCGACGACGGCAACGACAGCGACGGCGACGGCGACGGCGACGGCGACGGCGACGGCGACAACGACGACGACGGCGGCGGCGTCGGCGGCGGCAGAATAAATAAGTCAGCATCGAACCGGGAAATCGGACAGCATCGGAACGTACGTCGGATCGAATCGCATCGGCACAGAGCCGAACTCGAGCCGCATCGGCCGCGCCAGGGTGCAGAGCGGCGCCATCGGACCGCACCAGATCATCGGGATACCAGGATCGAATCGGATGGTGACTACCTACCAGACCACCCCAACCCAACCCGAAGACCCGAATTTCGGGTTGGGGGGAGTAAGGGTTCCAAATGCGTTTTTTCGATGTTTCCCGACCCCCCCCCCACTGGAAATCGAGGGTAAATCTGAGCCTTCGGGTTGGGTTGCGGTGGTTTGGTGGGTGGTGAGATGGGGCCGACGTTGGCCCTGGGGCGGCGGCTCGGAAGGGATCCTCCCCGGTGGAGAAGGTGGCGAACAGCCGGAAGCCCTGGTGCACGTCGACC